TATTTTTTTTCATGTTTCTTTATTCAATTATTTCCGATGATCTGCAAGTGTCCTTATATTTATGACCAGGAAGTGTACAATGCAAATCGCCTATACTCAAAATTTTAGCATCAAAATTTATTGTAAAATTACAAAGTTAAAAAATGGGGAAAAGAACTAAACAATAAAACCATTTATTTCAAGCAATATTAACAAAAAAATCAAGGCCTGAAAGTAAAGAAGCCAAATCCAAGATTTGCGATTAATTAATTTGATAACAATTTTGCAATTGATGTGGATAATTTAGAAAATAGTTTGGAGTCCATTGAAGGTGAATTGGAAAATGATGCAGGTAAGTTTGAAGATGAGCTAAAAAATGATGCTGAAAGTGAATCAGAGTCATCTGGCGATGAGCCATGAGTGGATGAGATCATAGAAGAGTCTGAATTTATTAAGACAATTCACAAATTGTGGGAAGATTTAGTCCTTAAAATGCAAAATGCTATATTGCTTTACAAAAAGTAATTGACCACAAGTATATTCAGGTACAGTACAGTGTGTTTCAAAAAAATGGCGGTTGTAAAATATTATATTTAATGAAAAAGTAGCCAAAATTATGTAATAAAAATTATACCAGAGAATTGGAAGATCTTAGATTATAAGGAAAGTTTTGAGATATATTGTTATGTATATACATGTCGTCAAAATTAAAAGTCGTGTGACGCAATTACTTTAGTGTGAGACAGACACATTGACGCAGACGTAAGACGCAGACGCAATTCGTGACGCAAGACTTGTGAGTGATATAAATTATCTGAAAGTGATGTTTTCAAATCTTGCAAAAATAATAAAAATTACATTATTGATTTATTTGCAATAATTCTATATATTTTATGGAATTAATTTAAAGTATAAACCTTTTTTTTTGAGTTATCCACGATTTCCTAATTCACAACTTTAAAAGGTTATGGTCTAGTATGAACATAATTGAAAAACTTTTGTGTGTATTATATTCATTATATAAAATATAAGTTGAAAGGATGTTTTCCTGACGATCGTATTAATTTAGGGTTTCTTGGAATATGTATAAAATAAATTCTAAATAAATCAAACTAACAATATTTCGCAAGAAATGATTGTTTTTTTTGACACGGATTTGGTAAAGCTTTGTTCACATAATTATAGATTCTATTTAATTTGTTCTAATGAATTTCTATCATTATTACAGGATATAATGTACGAATCGTGATTGTGATATTAGCTGGTCCCAAAAGACCAGTCTTTTTTGGAAGAATGAAGGACCAGTCTTTAGATGCAGTCTTTGGTACCAGTTAAAAATTGTTTAAAGGCTAACTTAATAGTGAATTACATATTGCAAAGAGTCAATCCCCAATTATTTTCCGGTTTATGGCTGAGTTTCAATTAACTTTTTAGTTACACTCTCAATTAATTTATTTTACGAATTTATTTACAATTATCTTGTTTACTGCCTTCCAAGGACATCATAGAAAGCCAATCATCAACCAAATATTTGTTTCGTTTTTGTTGTTGCTGTTCTTCCTATTACTATTTCTATTTTATTACAATAATATTATACCTACTACTACTGTTATATTAAATAAACTATTGGTTTTTATTATACGGAATTATTATTATTATAGACTTTTAATATTAAAGTTCTTTAGTCTCAAAAAAGCGGACATTGTAACGATTAATTTTTTAGTATTAAATTCAATAATGAATAACTTACACAAAAGATCTGTTGGTCCCACAAGGACCAGTCCTAAAATTTAGGACCGTGGTTCAGAGGTATTGGTTCAAAGACCGGTCTTTTAAAGACCAACACAACCCTATTCATACCTGTACACTTGATCTTTGATTAGATTTGATCAAAGTATTCTTTACAGATCATATATTATATATAGATCATGTCTTCCACGATTTTAATTTTCATCACGATTATCGGCAAGTTTAGAAAAGTTCAATATAGAATTAATTATAAATTTTGTATCGAAGTTAAATTAGTCAATTTATATGAACAATAAAGGCGTCAAATGAAAGACATATTGAATGTCTTTTAAGGTCAAAATGTGTTTATTGTATATACAATTTTATATCATTACATAAAATAATTTGATCGGACATTTCATTTGACTGTTAACTTATTTATCTATGTCAAAAACAAAAAAACATGCTAATTAACTAATTATTATTATTACAATTACATTAATATTAACTAAATATTAGCTATATGTTATTAATGTTATCTAACAACAGATTTATATTATTGAGGTCGTTTAGAAGTTGAAACTTGATGCACATTAATTGGTCTCTGGTTAAATTGCTGTGGTTGAAATAATTATTCCGACAAATGAAACTATTATTGGCAGCGTTTTGATGGACGATAGTATTAATTGAATGATTGTTGTTATTGTTGTTGTTGTTGGTAAAGTTTTGACGAGTGATAACATTAGTTGAATGATTATTATTATTATTATTAATCAAAGTTTGGTCAACGAGATTATTACTGACAATACTATTAACGAGATTATTTTGACGAACAAAATTACTGTTGCAATAATATTGATAAATAGAATTATTATGAATCGTGTCTTGATGAGAGTAATTGTTGTTTGCAGAGTTCTGGCTAACGAAACTATTATGGACCAAGTTATTATGAGCGTAATTATTATCGCTAGGGTTTTGATAAACTAAATTATTTTCACCAGGATTATTGGAGACAGAGTTTTGGATAGGAACTGAATATTTATTAGTGTTTCTTGATTGCCAATTCGAATGAGAAACAAGACTTAGGTTACCGTTATCAGGGTTAAAACCACTAACCCAAACATCGTGATTATTATTATTATTATTCTCAAAATAATTTTGATTACTTCGATTATCCATTTTGTGTATTTATTGGTGTAAGTTTTTAGATATTTATTGAATATAATTATTATTATTATATTCTAAAAAACAAAATTTCCACTTATTGCAGTTTTGTCCTATATTTATAGTTTCTTGAAATTCCTAAAAATAGGTAATTAAATTTTTAAATCACGCTTTTTTATTTTTTTTTTATTTTCTAAATGGGGTTAGAAATGATAAAACATCCCCCCAAAAACTAAATCATCGGGAATTATCCTTTATAAAATAAAATAGTTACATACACAACACGAACAATAATAAAATCTCATGAGTTATCTTTGATTATATCTCTCGTTCTACTGAAAAGAAAAAGTGGCTTATCTTAATGAATCCTAAAATAGACTCATTTTTCTTTAAGCGGGGATCCATCGCTTTTTTTTAATGTATAAATAGAATTAATAATATCCTTTAAAAATAATAAACTAAAAAAAAGGAAGTTGCACAGATACAAATTGTTTTTGGCATTTTTCCACTTGAAAAACCATCTCGAGAATTATATTGAAAAAACTCATATTTCGCATACCCTTGTTAATAAAGAATTCCGTCAAATATGCACCAGTTCTGTAGCAAATTCGACTTGCACTTTGACTGATTTTGGAAGAATTCATGTGTTCCCCTCAATTTTACTAACGAAAACTTTTATTACAGTTAGTTGCTGTTGTAAAATCCTTATTTTAAAAGCAAGTCTATCTAAATATTTTGTTTAAAGATTACTCAATATGGTCAATATGATGAAGATTTGACTAAATAAAAATTACAAGATAACGATATCAATTCCCAAGAAATAGATCAAGAAAATTTAAAGCCTTACAAAGACTCATGGTATCGGACATATCATTTGATGTATTCATCGCTTTATCAAAACAAGATTTGGAACAAATTCGGCTCTGAAAGAGAAAAAATTTCATTTATGCAACTGCCCATTAATCAGGGATCAAGAATAATTAAAAGTAAGCATTCATCAATAAAGAATTCACGCCATTTCCTCCAATGAATATTTCAGAAAGAATACAAATCTCTTTCAAGTTTATTCGAATGATTTGCAATCATGAGATATTAATAATAATTGGTTTTTTTCTCTCTCATTGGTATCTTTTCCTTTCCCATAGTGGTAATAATAATAGGGAACAATTGTATATAATGATATTATTTTTGTTAATATGAAATAAAAGGAACAGTGATCAGTGCTGTGACTAGAAACTCTTTTGGCTTCCCGAAACGTTTCGGAAAATGAACTTACACTAAGCTAAAGGTTGGCACCGTGCAAAAATTCTTTAACCGGTTAATTAACCGTTAAAATTAAGAGTTAACCGGTTAACTGGTTAATTTAGTCACGTGGAATTTTTTAACTGGTAAATTCGATCGTTCATTACTTACAAAAAATCACGCGCCTGTTGAATTTTATTATTACACACTTAATAGATGCTAAATGATTACAGTCAAACTACACCACAGCGGATTCATGGTTCCAGACAAAAAAATCCGTTGTTGTTATTATTATTATTATTATTATTATTATTATTATTATTATGACAAGCGGCAAAATTGGTGATGATCTGGCAAAATTTTTTTAATAATACAAAGCTCTCTCTCTCTATACCGAACCCTCTGTCCATTATATGCATTTTTCTGCTTTTGTTCATTATAGGGAGAAATTAATTATAAAAAATTGAATCGGAGATGGGTGAAAAAAGGGAAATTCAATACTGACATTTTAAACATTTTCCTTCCACACCTCCCTCTAAAGAATGAATAATGCAGGTGTATTTTATTCCAAGAATTCCTCTCAAAATGTATGAAGTAATAGTAATTAATCAAATTTTATTTTTTTTGTCAGATTTGTTGCATGATCAATTATACAGATTGATAATCTATGTTACACAAGCAAAATTTTCTGTTACACTGCACTATTGACAACAAAATGCACTGTGATGTAATTATGGTCAATAATTAAATAAATTTTTGGAAGTCTTCTTTTAGCATCAAATTCTTTACTTGATACAACTAACAGAAATGTCTTCCTCTGGTATCTTGCGGTGCTTTCAGTGGGGTCGCTCTATTACATGTCAAGTTTTGTTCCTTCAGCCACAAAATCCTATGTTGAGAAACTTAATTTGTAATCCATCAATGAAGGAAAGGATCTACATAGTAAAATTCCGGGATAAGCATCATAATAAAATCAATTAGTGTCCATAATCTGGAACCACTGCAGAAATAGCATAATATTTTACATGTAGACTTGTACTTTAAAATTACTAAATAAAACTCTGAGTATCTGGCTATCTTTTTAATTTAAATTTATAAAAATAGCTCCAA